CATGTCTACTCGGAAGATATATCCACACCCATATAAGAAAGGTTTAGTTCCCCTCTCCAACCGATGTAGGATCTCACGACCCTATAGGTACCAATACTTCACGAACTTAGAGGCATTACCATACCATAGACAAGTATGTTCGAGTATTTGGATGCACGTGTTTTGTTTAAGGTACTTCGAATAATTCAATAATTTAAAATTTCAAACCAAAAATAAAATAAAATTTATATGACAAATCATAGAGACATACAAAGCGCCAATGGTCCCATTAGAATATCTCTCTACCACTTCATATAACAGAGCACTAAAATAAGTACAAACAAAACCTGATGATAGTTACAAACAAACTATCAAGAACCAACCATACAGTTTATGAGGAAGAGAAGCCGAGCTCCTTGTTAGAACCGCGCTGACGATGTTCTTCGAAGCTGATACTTCGGCTCGGGCGAGGGGGTCGATGGTAGCAAATTTTCCAGCTCCTACAGGTAAAACAAACTCCTTAAGTAGACACAACCACAAATATTTAAGATACCCTTTCGGATCGAGTAGGCGATGATTGTACGAAATCCAGTTTAAACGAACCCTATAATCCTATCTTCTATCGATTGTTTCAACGCTTCCCGTTAAAGCAATAATTTGGCATCAACAAACGTGTGGTTTAAACTCAAAACTTATTTGGTCTGGTCGAGCATTTTCAAGAAAATCGTCTTTTCGCTATAGTATGCTGTCTAAATTTTCTTAACCCAACATCTTACGACACGAGCCGACGACAGTCATATACCACCACCCGGGGAGAAAATCCACTCAAAAAAGCAAAAGGACAAAAATAAACAACCTATAGGATAAAAGGGTCATTGTCCCTTTTCCTAAAGAGGAAAAGGGGGGTTAGCCTGTAACAGCTCAAGCTCACCGCTTGCAGATATTATCCATTTTGATCTGTTACGTATCGTCGTTAGCCTCACAGTTTTAAGACATGTCTACTAGTGAGAGGTTTCCACACCTTTATAAAGTATGTTTTGTTCCCCTCTCCAACCGACGTGGGATCTCAAAGTCCACCCCATGGGAGCCCAACATCCTCGTTGGCACACTGTCCGGTATCTAGCTTAGATACCATTTACGTATCATCGTCCGCCTCACAGTTTTAAAACGCGTCTACTAGGGAGAGGTTTCCACACCCTTGTAAAGAATGCTTCGTTCTATACGATGCGATTGTATTGTGATAGCATCCAATTAAATGACATGAAACTTATAGGATGAACTCTGATCTAAAACCATGCGTTCATCCTCGTACTTCGTTGAGAACCCTACAGAATCTAGTAAATCATAAGACGGGTAGCAATGTAGAAAGCTTAAAAGCACCGTCTAATAAGAGGACACGTGTTTCGAGCCCTTCGTCTGCAAATCTATATATATTCCAAATCCAGCCATGTTCGAGTTCGAAGAAAACTAACCTTACGTTTCCTGAGCCTTTCGTTTTCCTCTTCCAAACGCGAAACTTTGTTCTCCAGTTCATTGGTATAAGCCTGTTCAAAGTGGCAACTAAGTTATACATATTGAAGTGCTCCTAACTTTTAACTCTACAGGAGCTTTTTTAAAAATCACCTGCTTCCTTGCTCGTGAACGAGCGGCAGATTCCCGATTCTTTATCATCCTTTTCTGTCTACGCTCGACAGTTTTCTCAATCATGTCTTCAGACGCTCCCCTTTTCCTTCCAGATGTCTGTGTGTCAGATAACGCTCCGATCAATGGCGTTGGCAATGCCAACTGATTGTCTACATATGGACCATCCATCACGGTGCCAGCCCCGACGTGCATCGGCTGGGGAATAGGCTGGCTCGGCATGTAAACCCCCATCATTGCTGTTTGTTGAGGCTGATATTGAACTTGGGGGAACTGCATCCACTGTCCTTGTTGGGGGAACTGTGGTGTGATGTTTGCGTCGACTTCAACAACAGGACCTGCACCTTTCTTATTCGGTGACGTCTCAGCAACGACCCCGGCTTTAACCAGAAAATCTTCCAATGTCATCTCTCCCAACGTAGGTTGTCGTTCACAAGACTTCTTCTCCTCACTATCTTTGCTTTGTTGAATGTCTCTCCACACCTCGTCAACTGTCTTTTTACTCAGAGCACCATTCAACGTGAGACTACCCTGACGATGTTGGGGCGTTAGATTCGACAAAACAGTATTGTATTCATTGTCCTTACCGACGTTTTGGTTAGCCTCAGCGGTCCACACATTCTTAAGAAGCTCATCAAGATTCATACTGATTAATGGCTTTCCTAGATCACCCAACTGGTTTTGGACCTCATCCAAAGTGAGACTATATAGCGAGTTTTGTCGAACCAATGGCTCCAATTGCGATTGTTTGCCATTCGGATCACCTCTGCCTTGAGACCCCATCGTTTGAATCCCCATTCACATAATCCAGCTCAAATTTTAATCCATAGCTCAAACGAAAACTTCGAAAACCGTCTCATTCAACTCGTCGAGAAATGAAGCACATGAGTTATACAAACAACCCAATGAAGTTCTGCATAAGATATGAATCAAGAACTAAATCAAATATATATACATATCAGAAGCTAACAAGCAGCAGTGACCCAAAAGTAAACTCTTAAGACGGATTATTGGGAAGGAGTATCATGTCGGCTAATTTAGGAATGATCATGGGTATATAAGTAAGGAATAAATCTCCATTGATACGAGACCTTTTGGGGACGCCCAAAGCAAAGTCACAAGAGCTTATGCTCAAATTGGACAATATCATACCATTATGGAGAGTCGTGATTCCAAACATGGTATCAGAGCCATGCTCTTAACTTAGTCATGCCAATAGAATCCTCAAATATCGAACAAATAAGTTGTGAGCCTCGAAAGTGTAGTCAAAAGTGACTCAAGTGTGTGCTTTGCTCGAGGACTCCAGAGAAGGAGTCGAGTTTCGATTAAGGGGAGACTGTTCGAGGGCTCCATAGGCCTCAAGGGAGGCTCTATAGTGTATTTTGTTCGAAGAGAGGATTGTTGAGAATGATTAGGAGGGAGTCCCAAGTTGGCTAATTTAGAGAATGATCACGGGTTTATAAGTAAGGAATACATCTCCCTTGGTATGATGCCTTTTGGGGAAGCCCAAAACAAAGCCACGAGAGCTTATGCTCGAAGTGGACAATATCATACCATTATGGAGAGTCGTGATTCCTAACACAAATTTCAAAAACAGAGTTAAATGGTAGATAAAACCCAGCATGCAGAGACATAATACAGAGCCAATAGCCTTGACTGATCAAGAACTGAGAAAACCCTAAAGCTAAACACATAACCCAACAATATTTAACCCAACAAAAACATTTTAGAGCTAGAGAAATGCTTCAGAACAAGGATCAAAAGCTACTTTGAATCTTTGAATCCAAGACAGATTTTGAATCTTTGATCAAACTAAGAACAGTAAATTTATTAAAATTTCTCAACCAAAGAGATTCATAATGGATGAACAAAGTGACAACACACAACAACAACAGCTCTGCATGTAACAATATCAGTGAGTTCCTCTGAAAATCTCAAAAAATTCAAGAAACCCAAATGGGGGAAACACAAAAACAACATTCTGGGGTGAATCCAAGTAGCTAAAACACAAATTTCCAGAGAAAATCAAACAAAAAAGGCTCAAGAACACCAAAATGAACAGAAATCTCAAATGGGTAATGCAAAGAACCAGAAAAAAAGGCTCAAAAATGGAAAAAATGATAGGGAGAATGAATTGAAGTGATACCTGAAGAAGAATTCAACGAAGAACAAGAAGAACGATCTGGAAAGTGTAAAGAATAGAGTGAATTAAGAACAAAAGCATACAAAATGCATCATATGGAATGAATTAATAACAGAGGAAAGAAGAAAAAATGGGGGGAAAAAGGGAAGAAAATGGAAGAGAAGGCCAAGCCCAGTTGAGAGAGTGGGATGTGGAGAAACAAAAGGGAAAATTTTTATAATTTTTATTGTCTGAAAATCATAAAAAAATCAATTTTTTAAAAAGGAAAAAAAACTTTAATTGGCCAAATTTCTGAGTCTTCGTTCTTAGAGTTTTGGAATTGAAGGAAAAATAATTCCATGTTCACGCCCTCATGCTGTAATGATGAGACCCAATTTTCATTTGTCTACTTCTGCCACCATTTACGAGGGTTCTGTTCCCCTCCACACTCTATAAATAATTTTATTTTTACAGAAATTTTAATAATATTATATAAATGTAAAAAGAAAAGTAATATTTTTAAAAAATAACTATTGAATTACAAATTATGTAATGTAGTTTGTATGGTTCGAAAAAGTTATAACTTTTACGAGAGTTTTCTGGCGAAATTTGGCGAGCGTTTATGAATTAATTGAATTTGTTGGTAGTAAAGCTTATATCGGAAATAATTTAGTTTCCATGTATAGTTCAAAAAAAGCGAATCTTTATACACGTGTATGCAATGCACAAGTTGGACCACCGACCTATAAAAATATGAGAAATATTTATTTTTGTTTATAAATAATAATATGAAGTTGTCTCTAATTTTTTAAAATACGGAAAGGACTTGGAATTTGAAGTTGGTTTAGAGCATTATGAGATTAGCAAACTCGTTTAACGCTAAAAAATAGTACCAATAAGATATAGTTCAAATTATGTGTAAATAACCATCCAACAAGTTCAATATAATTTCAAAGGATACACAAGAATCAAACAATTGATCTTTGAAACGAGTAGTATATTAACCTAATCTGAGCGTTGAGCGTTGAGCGTTGAGCGCTCTGGGATTTAATTGGATTTGTGTTCAAATACTTGACAGCATACATCTGTTTGGCCTCCTCCAAACCATCCACCTTTCATCACAGCTTTTATGAATTCATTGGCATCTATTGTATGTATGTTTGTTTGCTTAGCTCCATTGCATCGATCAGACATTGGGCGGTTGTTGGTAAGGACGTTGAGGTCCCCTTACTTATAAAAGTGTGGAAACCTCTCCTTAGCAAACGTGTTTTAAAAATCATGAGACTGACGATAATATGTAACGGGTTAAAGTGGACAATATTTGTTAGCAATGGACTTGGATTGTTAGACGACGAATACTGAATGTTACTGTCTGCATTGCCTTGTAGAGCCTTAGATGCTCATGGCGTTTTCAGATGTTGTCTAGGCGGGTTGTTTGGTGGAGGGTCATGACTACCATTGGGCAGTTCTACATATTCGGTTGGTCTAGTGTACGGATTCTGTTTCGATATGATCTTCCGAGCTGGAGGAGTGAAATGATGCACTCGTCTTTGAGTTCTTGCCTTGTAGTGGATAGTTTTCAATCTCCGTTTGTGCCCATCGACTCGAGCAATTCCCTCGGAGTCGTCTCACATGGGTGTGTCCCTATTCCACAAATTGAACATTGTTATACAAGAACAAATCCAAGAACAAAAAAACCTTTTAAAACCAAAACCAACCTCAAGGCATCCTGATGCAACAAAATAAAAAAGAATCTCAATACCAAAAACCCTTTAGCATTGCAAGGACAACTATCCTATAAAAAGAAGCTTTGGGAGAACCGTAGTAAGCAAGGAAATGAAAAATCTCTTTAATCCAATTACCTCATATAATACAAAACAAAACTTTGCAACAGCACAATGGAGCATCTATCAATGGAGCAAATTCAAGAGTATGCGTATCTCGTTTTGATACTATTTTTAACCGTTCAAATTCATTACTGACAGATATTGTTCGCTTTATCTCATTACGTATCGCCGTCAGCCTTACGGTTTTAAAACGCATCTACTAGGGAGAGGTTTCCACAAACTTATAAGGATTTTTTCGCTCCCCTCTCCAACCGATGTATGATCTCACAATTCACCCATTTGGGAGCCAACGTCCTCACTGACACACAGCCTGATGTCTAGCTTTGATACCATTTGTAACAGCCTAAGCCCACCACTAGCAGATATTGTCACTTTGGCTTGTTACACATCGCCATCAATGTCATAGTTTTAAAACGCGTCTACTAGGAAGAGGTTTTCACACCCTTATAAAAAATGTTTCGCTCTCATCACCAACCGATGTAGGATCTCACAATCCACCCCCTTGGGGGCTAGCGTTCTCGCTAGCACACCGCTTAGTGTCTAGCTCCTATACCATTTGTAACAACCCAAGTCCACCGCTAGCGGATATTATCCGCTTTGGCCCATTATAAATCTCGTCAGCCTCACGATTTTAAAACGTTTTAAAACGTATCTATTAGGAGAAAGAGTTTTCACTCTTACCAGAGAAATGTTAAACTATTTCTAGATCCAAAGAAGGAAGATGAAATGGTCGTTTTGGAGTAAAATAGGTGAAGAGGATGGTGGAAAGGCGACATTCTGATTAAAGGCTGCTAAAAGCTTTTGATTATTGATAACTTTCTGGTACTTAAGAAGACTACTGACATTGAAGCATCTGTCCATTATATTCCCATTTCTGACCTGCATAGCAAGGACTTCAGTGAGGCATATGTCAATTGCAACTGACCAAACACATTCCTTCCCTTGTGCTTTACATCTCTTCTTTTCCCCAGCAGGTCATATGAACCCATTCCTGTATAAGAAGAATGTATAAAAAGTTTTTTGTCGTCCATTTGCATCGACCCAGAGCAATTCAATTGCCTTTTAATATAAATGGACTTGGAGAACTTTACGAGCAAGGAAAAATCAAATGTCTACTTACTTTTTAGTCTAGAGACAAACCGTGAGATCCCACGTCGGTTGGGGAGGAGAACGGAACATTCTTTATAAAGATGTGGAAACCTCTCCCTAACATACGCGTTTTAAAAACTTTGAGGAGAAGCCTGAAAGGGAAAGCCCAAAGAGGGCAATATCTGCTAGCGGTGGGCTTGAGCTGTTACAAATGGTATTAGAGTTAGACACCAGATGATGTGCCAGCAAGGAGGCCGAGCCCTAAAGGGGGTGGACACGAGGCAACGAGGCAGTGTGCCAATAAGGACGTTGGGCCCCAAGAGGGATGGATTGTGAAATTCACCCCTATTGGAGAAGGGAACAAGTGCCAGGAAGTCGGGGGATGGATTGTGAAATCCCACGTTGGTTGGGGAGAAAATGAAACATTTTTTATAGATGGTGTGGAAACCTCTCCCTAGCTGACGTGTTTTAAAAACCTTGTGGGGAAGCCTAGAAAGGAAAGCTCAAAGAGAACCATATCTGCTTGCAGTGGACTTGGGCGGTTACACAAGCCAAATGTACCCACGCGATGACTGCATAAAAAAGAAGAAAAATCAAATGAATAGTTAAAAACATAACATAATTTAAGATAACATTTGAAATTTATTGACAGAGCATGAGAGAGCATATATTTCCTTCAGAAGTTAATAAGAATTGAGAAATCATCGTTGCAGTCAATCATACAACTACTTGTGAGATATTGTAGAACTGGAACGACTGGGATATGCCACTGGAGTTCAGTGTACAATTACTAGTTTAACATCTTTTAGCTTGTGGAGGTGGAAAATTTAGTATATAATTACTAAACCAGCAGCCCGCGCAGGACTCTACCAGTAGACAACCTCTGACACATAGAGCTTGCAGAAGGTTAGGCTAATTTTGTAACAGTTCAAGCCCACTATTAGTAGATATTGTTCTATGTGAATTTTCCTTTCGGACTTTCCCTTAAGGTTTCTAAAACGTGTCTGCTAGGGAGAGGTTTCCACACTCTTATAAAGCATGTTTTATTCCCCTCTCCAACTAATGTGGGATCTCACAATCCACCCTTTTCTGGGGTCCAGCGTTCTCGCTGACACTTGTTCATCTCTCCAATCGATGTGGGATCTCACAATCTACCCTCCTTCTAGGCTCAGCATCCTCATTGGCACACCGCCCGGTGTCTAACTCTCGTACTATTTGTAACCGCCCAAGCCCACCGCTTGCAGATGTTGTCCTCTTTAGTCTTTCCCCTCAAGGTTTTAAAACACGTCTGCTAGGGAGAGGTTTTCACACCCTTATAAAGAATGATTCGTTCCACTCTCTAACCAATGTGAGATCTCACAAACCAGCCCAAGGGCCAGTAGGCTCAGCATCCTCATTGCCACAAATTCCAACGAAGTTCAAGCCAGAGCTTTTGAAGAAATTCCCAATTGAAATGATTATAAGCCAAAAAAAATCACTCACATGAACGGAGTGCTAACAAAACATTTACCAGGCAATTGATTGTACTGTTCCCAAATTCATACCTATACAAAATTGCAGTTCTCAGGGACAAAATTACATTTGTTTTCAACAATACTTTCATTCATTCTCTAAATGATGTAAATGGACCACATAATTGCGGTAAATACCAAGAGTTAGAATCCTAATAAAACTCGAATGGAACGAAGAACTGAGGAGCATTTGAATTCAGGTACCTTTCTCTAAAGCTTTAAATATCATGTAATTCCCACGACAAACATTTTTTACTCTCTCTGTAACAGCTCAAACCCACAGCTAACAGATATTATCTTTTTGGGCTTTTCCTTTCGGGTTTTCCCTTAAGATTTTTAAAACGCGTCTCATAGGGAGAAGTTTCCATACCCTTATTAAAGGTGTTTCACTCTCCTCCCAACCGATGTGGGATCTCACACTCTCTAAACTATATACAACATTGTTTGAGAACAACCTTAGTTCTTTTAGTTCCATGTTAAAAACAAATGTAATTTGAAAATTCACATTAGCAAGGGCCAGTTGATTGTATACTCATTGAACAGAACAGTTCAGATTTAGACGAACATAACAAAATCTCAAAATCCCCTATCACGAAATTGGATGAAACAGTATGAACATAACAAAATCTCAAAATCTCCTAGGGAGAGGTTTCACTATCACGAACAAACTTTCAACCAGTATGAAACAGTAGGGCCCAAAATTGGATAGGGTTCAAGACACAGATTCGAGGCAGATCTCTTTTTTCTTTCCCTTTACGATCCCCCCTAAAAGTCGTTTCTCCACGAACTTGGACGTCGAATCCTATCTCTACCACACGATGCAGGTTGTAGGCAAGCATGAAAAATGAATTCATAACGTAACAAGTCCATTTCAAAAATCTCATATGTAAAAATATATCAGCCACCAAAGATCACCAAATAAAACCAAGTAAAAAAGCAACGAACAGTTCAATGACTGCAGACACAGAAAACAGACATCTCCATAGAAAAACATAGAACTTCTGGACAATTTTTCTTGATCAATCCATATCATAAAATTACATATTCACTTAATTCCAATTCCTCAGACTACACAACACTGAAATTTCTTCTCGATCCCTAATAAAATTCATCTCTGAATCAGAGTTTCAGCCAAACTAGACTCTCATTATATGAACAAAGATTGAAGAAGAATACCTCAACGATCCGTCCGGCGCAAGTTCATGGAGAGGGAAAACTCAGGCTAGAAGGAACCAAGACGATCGGATTAGACATTCGAAAGCTCTCAATCAAAAAAATGTATGCGTGTTTAAAAATAAGATAAAATATATATATATATATATATATATATATATATATATATATATATTTAGAGAGATAAATATATCAGAGATTATTAATTAGATTAAAAAAAGTAATAAAAAAAAGATGGAAATAAATAAATTTTAAATACAAAAATTAAAATGATAACTAAAATATATGTAAAAAATAAAGATAAGCGAGATTTATTTTATTTTTTAAAATATAGAAATATATATATATATATATTTTAAGATATAAATGTTAAAAACAAATTTTAGAAATAGACGAGGTAGAGAGACAAAAAAAATAATAATAGTAATAATAATAATTAATTTTTTTTAGAGAGAAATGAAAATTTTTAAATATGTTTTTCTAATTTGTTTAAAGCGAATATAAAAAAAAATTATCAAACAACTTTATTTATAAAAAATAAAATCATAAAATAGAAAATAAAATAAAACGTTTATAAATAAATCAATTTAGATTTTTTTATTTATTTTAATATAAGATTTCATGAAATATTGGAATTTTTTTATTTCTCTGTTTTCTCATACTTTTTTTTTTATTTATTTAGAAGAAAAAAAAAAGATTATTTATGTTTAGAAGAATAATTAATTAAAAGAAAATATAAAGGTATGTCATATAGAATTATAGATTATTATCATTTTTTGAAAAAAAAAATGATAATTATCATAATTGCATTTTGAACTCTTCTTTTGAGCTAGCTTTAAATTCTCCTTTGCTCAAATAACTCTACTTCCCATCTTTTTTCCAAATTTCTTTTATTAATACTTAATTTAATCTCTCCGAAAACAGATGGGTCTTTACATTCCTCAATGTCGTTTTGATACAATTCAATTCTCCGTGTCACATGTAATCCATACGAGTGTGTCCACACCCCTCCTGAGTGGACGAGAAAAAAAACATCCGCACATGAGGAAAAAAGCATAATGATTATCATTGTCACTACTATTAAGACCAGAATGATTATACCACTTGTATTAGGACTAGAATGATTATTGGATCTACATCCATCCCTGATTTTAATCAGAACTATGAGAGATTATTGGGTCTACATCCATCCCGATTGATTATATCACTTGTATCAAAACCAGAAAAATCATAATCTGATTATACCACTTCTATCGGGACCAGACTACTTCTATCAAGACCAGAATGATTATTGGGTCTACATCCATCCCAGAATGTTGTTGGATACTCCAGAATGATTATATCACTTCTATAAACCACTTCTATCAAGACCAGAATGATTATTGGGTCTACATCCATCCCAAAATGTCGTTGGATACTCCAGAATGATTATACCACTTCTATCAGGACAATTATTGGGTCTACATCCATACTTGAATGTCGTTCGTTGGATACTGTTCAGTTCTCCATCATTCTTGTAACCGTCACATTTAATCCGCACAAGTGGGGTCACAGGTAGTCGTTGGATACTGTTAAGTTCTGCATCATTCTTGTGACCGTCACATGTAATCTGCACAGGGTGTGTCCACACCCCTCCAGGGTGAATGCACGAACATCGCCTTTTCTTTTCTTTTTCATTTCCTGCATCTTCAAATTATGAAGTAATGGGAAAACATATCTATAAAAAAAAAATGTAGAAATGGTTGTATCGACCATTCGACATTTGCCACGGAAAAGGGGAAGAAAAGGCGAGAAATCTTGTTAATTTACATACAAGCCCTTCTTTCTATATTCAATCAACGAGCTATCTTGAAGAGGAGGAGGAGGAGGAGGCCTGAATTTGAAGAAGCAACAGACACCATTGAATCCCAATGTTCCATGACAAAGTTCAAAGTTATTACACAGTCCATCTTATGAAAGCACTGCAGCATTGTGCATTACAAACCTAAACAGTTCCACATACAATGGTTTCTTTTTTTTCTGCTGAACAAACAGGGAATCAAAATCCTCCAAAGAAAAGGCCACAACTAACCTTCCCTTGGTCGACGAGGTAACGACAGAAACCGTCTTCCTCTGACAAGTCGTCAACTTATAAACCAAAGAGACAGTTTTGTTTTTAGATCATTCATTTAGTAAGAACTGCTGAGAGATCAAGGAATATCAGACATTTGACACACTGGGGGCATGTTATTCCATGAACAAGAATCAAGGCCCCATCCCGAATGCGTAGTCGAAATCCCAGATGGTAAGTGCTTGTAGTCAGCAGCCAAATCATCGCCTAGGAGCAAAGTGAGTGCATCATTCATACTGGTTGTCTCCTTTTCAATTCCTGAACTCTGGCCCTGCCAATCTGAGGCAAGCAACGCATCTGGACGTGTGAATTCGACCCCGTTTTTCGCTTCTTTTTCTCTATCAGGGGTCCACACATGATCCAGTGGTTCTGATTTCACATTACTTCCTGCAGAGTTCTTGCATAAGTCAGGCATAGTAACACTAGGAATGAAACCCATGTGATAGGTATACACGTCCAACCGATTCAGTTCAGTTCGACATTACTAGTCCTTCATACACTTCTTTAACGTTAGATGAAGTTCATTGTGAAACCTCAGAATATAACTACTCCAAAATGTGACTATTAACAATCGTCACTGGTTTTGGCTACAACAACAAAATTGGAAGGGAAAGATTCAACATGTAACACACATTACTTTAACATAAAATAAATCTCACTATATCAATTATATAAAAGGCCATATATTATAAAAATATAATATGTATAAACTAAGGGTCATGAAAAGCAATATAACAAAATTTTGGGGACCCAAGATTTATAGAACCTCGCCGTTCACCGTGAAACTTCATAGTTGTGGTCACTTAAATTATACGTTAGCAACTTACCATCAAATTAGTAGCTACAGAGAAACACCAAATGGTATTATATATGTTATAAAAGGAACTATCTTTCCTTGAGATAAATGAAAGTATACAAGGGCATCCAAACTTAACCCTAGCCCACAAGAGTATAAAATACTTCTGTAGATCATGATTATCAAGTCACGAGAAGGATTTCATAAGGGATACTTTCGGTTTCGTGTGAAGTAAATATGCAAACAATATAAGAATCATTAACTAACGTGTGAAGTGAATATCACAATTTTTTTTTTTTTTTTTTTTTTTTTTTTTTTTTTTTTTTTTTTTTTTTTTTTTTTTTTTTTTTTTTTTTTTT